CTTACTCCTGTAGTTACAGGGCATCCGACTCTATTGTAGGTGTCATTAATTGCATGATTATTTTAATAATACACTGTAGACACATTAATTAATAGTATCATGAAATACACTGCTACTATGATCTTATCAATTCAGATCTTTATAGGATCAAACTCTTTGACAGTAGATTTCTAACATCCGAACATCTTAACATCGTGTGCAACGTGTGCAAACTGTTCATCTTAAGGCTCTTTTCACTCACTGTATTTTCACAGCTTGAATGTTATTTATTGTGTAGATAGACAACTACAATAAAGAGGGATCGTTTTAATAAACTTTTTTCCATGCATTCTTAGCTACACTCAAACATTACAGATATGCCTACAACATTTGCAAAGTGGCCAGTCTTGAGTAATAGCCCACAGAATGTGATAAACAACAATCACAGTTGTGGGGTATGAGCTCAAGCTGTCCATTGTCAAAATGGACAAACGTGGGCCTTTTGAACTTGGTGTGACTCTACAGGACTTACAGGCAAGCCTTTACGAGAGCACTCTGGATGAGTAAATGAGTATTTACACAAAACCTACTGCACACCATCTGAACTGGAGAATATCAGAAGGAATACAAAAAAAACCTAAATGGATTAATTTAGAAACATGACAAATGAATAACGACAAGGACTATCCATCGGGGAATTATCTGCTGCTTCTGAGCTGCTTATTGTTTTCTTTTTTCAAAAGCTAACTGACCTATCAGAACCACATGTACATTGAGCATGGTGTTATAAAATGGATTATTGGTGATGGTAAAGACTCCAAGGAGAAGACTAACTCTGTGTTCCTATAATCCCTCCCCTCCCCTACAGAGTGTTTGGAGACAGATATTGAGTTCTGCCAGGTTGAGGAGGAGGTGGAGGGTCCACAAGGGGATGAAGCTAGTGATGTTGGGACACAGCCTGACTGGTTGTCCATGAAGCAGTGGAGTGTGCCCAAAGAGGAAGGAACTGTGCCAGAATTCATGGACAGTTGTGGCCCGCAGCGTATAATGGCCAGGAATAGCGATGTCCTCGACTACTTCCAGCTTATTTTTCCTGACATCCTTTTTGAGCAGATCGTTTTTGAGACCAATGCCTATGCCTCTTATTGCTGCTCTCTGGGGCAGGGGGACCCTTCCTGGAAACCCGTGTCTGTAGAGGAAGTCAAAGGCTTCTTTGGACTCTCTATCCTCATGGGGATTCAAGGCCTGGGGGAGCCAGAGTTATACTGGTCCTGGGACCATCACCATGGCCGCTATGGCTCCAGAACATGGGAGCTCTTTTACAGGACCATGTCAGTCAAACGTTTCAAGCAGATCGGCACTCACATCCGAATGAGCAGCATGCTTGTGGAGAGCGATAACCAGAGTGCTGACAAGTTGTCCTTTTTTCAGCCCATGCTGAGCATCCTGCAGACAAGCATGCGAGACGCCTACAGGCCAAACAAGTGTCTGACAGTCGATCAAGCTTTTCTACCGAGCCATGACAAGGGAATCGCTCAGGAAAAGAGTAAAAATAACCAGCCGAGGATATGGCTACTGTGTGACTCAAAGTCAGGCTACTGCCATAAAATGCTGGTCTTAACGCGTCAGGTGAAAAACAAAGACCTGGGAAAATCCGTTGTATCGCAACTCATAGAGGGCCTTGAGGGTAAACATCACCACATCTTCTTGTCCAGCTCACTTGCGTCTGTGCCACTCATGAAGGAGCTGTATGATGTTGGAATATACTGCTCCAGCTCCGTCCTCCCTCAAAGTCCAATTTTGCCCAAGGAGTTTTGGGATGAACCTCTGCTGAACAATGAAGGAGATTTCCAACAGTATGAATTCACTCCACTTCTCGCCACCAGATGGAAAGATAACAAGCAGCTGGTATGTCTCTCCACAAATGCTGATGCAGGCCATCCGGACATGGTGTGGAGGAGATCTCCGACTAAGATAGGAGAGCTTTGTGCTGTTGAAAGACCCCAGGCCTTCAAGCTGCTCCAGGACAACATGCGTGGTGTCGACATCTGTAATCAGCTCCTGACGTGCAACCAACTCGGCGGGCTGGTTCTCGACACCAATTGGCGGCGTCTCTTTTGGTTCCTTGTCAACTTGAGCATCATCAACTCTTTCATTGTCCTACGGGAGACCCGCAAAGACAACCCACCCGGGTGGCTTCAGGGGGGACATTTCTCCCAGGCCATCTACCGTAAACGTCTGGGGTACCAGCTGGCCAAGTGTGCCGCAAGATATGCTCGCCAGAACCAAGTCCACGATAGTATGCTTGAGCAGCAGATTGTAAAAAAAGAAAATCCGGACATGCAAGAAGGGGTCAGACATCGATTAGCCAAAATTACCCGTAGGACAAGGAGATGTAAAGTTTGCAACCTGAAAAACATGCGTCATGAGAGTGTATATGGCTGCACAGCGTGCCATGTGAATCTGTGCAAACGTTCTTGCTGCTTCTGGGACTTCCATGGTTTCTCACCTAATTTCCAAGGTTATAAAGCTCAAATACTGACACTAAATATTAATCAATGTATTTCCGAAGGTTTATTCTCTGTTCAAATGTTGCACAAAATTAAGGAATTTACCATTTTCAAACAGCTTTTTAATTGGCATGCATTAATTTGAAGTGATAATGCATTGTATTATATATTTTTAACATGAAATATAAAAAACACATTGTTTATATTCATTGTCGTAGATTATTATAACTGATGTTAGAATTAATTATCATTTTTTCCTCTACAGGTAACCCAAAAGTGGGATTCGTTGACACCAAGAGGTAAGTATTTTAGAAACCAATGGTTTAATTAAAAATTGCAACCTTAGATACATTTTAAAATAGAACAAATAATTTAGTTACACCTAATTTAACATTTAATTTCAGAGTTAGTTATTGCATGCACCTTTTTGATTAAACTTAAATGTAAAAATTATGAAAGAATATGCAGTTTATGCAGCTAACAGTAATGTGCGAAAATGGCTTCTTTTGTCAGTTAGCAAATTTTAAGTTGCCACATTTTCCATGTTATACAGATTCTGGAAAGTGACCCACTATTTTCCTTCCAGGGAAGGCACAGAGCCTGGACTTAAATACAGAACTGAAATGTTGGAAAGAGGCCTGAACAGATCTTCAGCCGACATCAAAAACTCAAGTGGCGCCAATGCTGGTCTAGATGAAGACGTGGACCAAGAAATGGCCCCTCTGGAAGATGAAGATACTGACTCAGACTCTGAGAGGACTGAAAGCGATGAAGACATGCCATGTGAAACAGGGGCTAGACAGAAGGTAGAGGTAACAGTAACCAATACACTTACACAACCTGTGAAAAACAGAGAGGAGACTCTGTCTATTCATCAGCGTCGAATACTACTCCTTGCACTGTGCTCCGGGGTCCAGAAAGCGGCTAAAGAAATGGAAACCAAAACTCAGCTCATCAAGACTTGGCTTCAAGACAAAGAGAATCAATTAAATGAATGCAGCAGCACAAGCTGTGGAGAGGCCGTTGATCGTCTGGTGGAGTGGGTTTTGACTCAACGGGAACAGCAGCGTCCAATCAATGAGGCAAAACTATTTGAAAAAGCTTCAGAGCTCCAAAGCCAAACCAATGAGATAAATTCTTTCCGTATTTCATACGAGTGGGCTGTGAGCTTCATGATGCTGCACAAATTGGGCTTGGATACCCCTTTCACAGTATATCGGGAACTCCCTAACGCCATGGAGGAAAACTGCCATCGCTACACAGAGTTGGTGCACAGTAAAATAAAGACAAACAACATTCCACAGTGTGTCTTTGGTGCAATGGACCAGCTTTCTGTTTTTGTGGACTTTAAAATGCTGAATGAGAATACCAGAATAAACCGAGAGACTGCTTTTCAGTTTACTGGGTTTGGGAAGCCCTTCATAAAGATTTACCTTTCAATGCTCGCAAATGGTACAATGCTACCTGCAGTGCTCTTCACAAGTCAGAGCACAAACGCGCTGAGCAGAAGCCCACCAGACTCAGTCCTACTTATGGCAAAGGGGGAAGGTTTCAGTGCAGCGGAAGAGCTAGAAATTTGGGCCACCGAAGTGTGGAAGCAGCATCTCGACTCACAGAATGAAAATGATGCCCTGCTGGTAATGGATAGCCATCATAGCCAAACATCTGAGAGCATCATATCCACAGTCAGTAGCAGCAAAACCTTCCCTGCCATAGTTCCAGCTGGCTGTACGGGCAGACATCAACCTCTAGAGATGTGTGTACGCCCTGTGCTGCAAAGGTTACTTCTAGCTCGTTGGGCACAACGACCTATTAATTGTGCATCTGGGGTTCAGCGTGAAGATCTGGTTGAGCTTCTCGTATCCTGGTTGGAAGAGGCCATGTCTTGCTTCTCTGGTAGGCCTGAATTTATTCAACACTCATTCTGCTTGGCTCGCCTGCTTCCTGATGAGGAAGCACATACGGATTTGCCTGGTTCACCTTTGGAGCTGTTAAATAAGCTGTCGGCGGCCACACTTGAACCTGAAGTTGTAGATCTTGACTCAGAAGAAGAAGAAGAAGAAGAGCCAATGGACACACACACTGTAGACAAAGTGAGCCAAGTAACAGAGAAAATTGATTTGACACAGGAGCCAGAGGATGAAGAAGTCAGTCAAACAAAGGATGAAGATGCAATGCCAATTGAAATAAAAAACACAGAACGACAAAAGGAAGGAACTGATGAATGTTTGGAAATTGCAAGTGAATCCACAGATGTCTCACATTCATCCCCTGAATCAGAGCCTCCTTCACACAACTCTGAACAAGATCAATTCTCAGAATCTGGTCAGGATGCTAACGCTTACCAAACGGACTCGGCAAACAGGTGATAATTGATCTACAGAGACATTATGATGTTGAACAGAAGGATTTGAAGTCAGGCAAACCTATTTAGGCTGAATGTGACTGGATATTTAATTGACATCCTACTGTGTGGTGGAGTGAAAATGTAAAAATATTTTTTTTATTCTAAATACTGTATATATTTACAGGATAGACATTGCATGATTGATTTTTGCAAAGTTTTCTACTGTTCGTTCTTTTTGTTTATTCACTAGCATAAAACGATCCAATAGCTCCCTCAGTGTTAGGATTTGTTTTGTTTATGGACGGATATTATTTGCGTTTCAATTCGACATCCTCTGAAAGTAAATCAGCGTTTTTGCGCCTGCTTAAGTTTCAGTCATTCTAAGTGCTATTTAAAATAGTTTAATTTAGTAACCATTTACTGTAGCTCTTGAAGTAAGATAGGCCATTACAGAACAATACAACTTTTATTTCATAGCTTTACAGAGTCTGTTATTACATTTTATGGCTGTTCTAAAGTTCAGCATGTTGGCTGGCAGCAGGCTCAGACTGTCTTAAAGTTCTTCCATTTTGGTTATTTATCTACTTCCAGACCGAATAAACCGTGAGACACGCTGAAGAGTCTTAGCATTGTTATTGCAGCAGCAGCAGTGAATGGAGTGGGATAAGTATGTATATTCAGTATTGATTTCAGCATCTGAATTTACCGTAGCAACCACAGGATGGTGTAACTACACTCCAGGTGTCATTCATTGACATTCAATTCAAAGATGTTCTGTAGCACATAATTGGTGCCCTTTCATGTTTGTAAAGGCTTACTTTGATTGCATCTCCATTCGCTGCAACAATTTTGTATGTAATTTACATGTAATAAATAGTGGGGCTTTATGTAAACAGTCTGATTATGAAGGTAAGTGGGAGTTCATATAACTGGGGGTCTTTTGGATGTTGTTTTGATGAAACTGTAAAAGTGTTATGTGTGTGACTTGGCATTTTTGACTATTCCTCATGAATAAAATGTAAACTCAGTTTGTGCATAAAGCCCACTCTTTTCCCCATGCTTCCCTGCTTTGTTTTAATGTGGACAGGAAGAGGTTTCCCACACTACCTGCCAGAGATCAGCATCTGCACTCAGATTCCTAAAAACTTCAAGTACCTTCAAGTTTGCACTATTTTGAAGAGCATGAGCATTACCTGAACGTTATGTAATAGTGATTCATACAGGACAGTCAGAAGCGACAGCACTGAGCAGGATATTGATTGGTAACAAAGCATAAATAATTACAAAAAAATAATTTTGACTGATTCTGACTATATTTGACTGTTTTTGCCCTGACACAAACAATACTTAACAGATTAGATACATTTCTCTAAACGTTTTTAATTTTTTTCAGGAATGCAGCACCACAAAATTTCCACCATATTGTTTTCAGATAACTTAAAAATTAACAATTAAATCTTCATTTAGGTGAGTTAAACCATTTTGGGAAATGTAATGTTCATCCACTGATACCTCAAATTAAAGTGAATTAAAATGTAACAGATATAGGTGGCAATGGTATTTCAAACATTCATAATTTACCGATTCAGGGGGGGAAATCCCATATTCTTTATACACGTTTATAGGCTAGTTTTTCATTAAAATGTTTTAAACCTGAACATGCTGTAAAAACGCTTTGCAATTGGAATTAGTTCTTCACCCTTGCTACTTTAATTCAAATTCAGGAACTGATTTGAACATTAAGATCATTAGAATTCAGTTCCGAATTGCCCATATTCCTGAAAAGCTGTAGATTTACTATTTAAGTATGGAAAAAATCCGATCTTTAACAGTAGTTTGGCGATTTGTTGTTGAGCTGACCAAGGTACTTTACTTTTGAGAGAAAGTTACCCAGTAGGGCAAAATACCCCAGAAAGGGGGCGCGTTTCCTGTTTGCGGGCTGATTTCCTGAGACCGAGGTGACAAACAACATTTGATCTTTTTATTCTGCAGTCGAATACCTGGGTGTGGTTTTAAGGATCATCTCACAATCCCATGTGGTATCATCACTGAAAGAGTTAATTCAATAGCGACATAAAATCTTTCTGCACGTCCGCAGCGCTTTGTTTGGTCAGTAAGTTTCCGCCTGTGGAAGCAACAGCAGCAGTATGGGTGAGTGTCTTCTAGTGCACTTTTAAACGTAGCTAGCATTGTGGCTCAGACTTTATTTTAAGCATTCGACATTTCCATCTGAAGTACGCAGCGGCTTCAGTCTGGAATAAAGAATTGCTTCACTACAAATTCTTTACATTTAGGCATAATCGTGTTATTTGTAGGCCTACCTGTCAAAGTCATTAAGGTAGAATTCGTGCAATGTTGTGGATTCGGAATGCATTAAATTTTGATTTTAACGTGTTAACTGAGGCATGTAAAAAATGTTAAATTCCTAATGTAATTACAAATTTGTATCATTGGTTGAAAACAATTCTTTGCTAAAGTTCTAGTATATATTAATGTAGTGCAATACAGAAATAATTATGTTAATAAGTTTTTTGTATTTTTTATTTTGATTATATACTTTTTATTTGGACATGGTTGGTCAGTTTATGGGTTGACCTGCACATAACCCATAAACACATGTCTAGCTATCAGGGGAAGGATGTTGAACAATCCTTGGCAAGACACAGTGTCCTCTCCTAGACTGTGATATTGCCCATCTGTTGTAGTTGGTTTGTGTGCTTGTATGTGTATTGTTTTCAAACATTTACAGGGCAGTAAAAAGTGTTATCTAGTAGTATCCAGTAGTTCACTTGGCGATTCATCATCCGTGCCTTTTAAGAATGAACACACGAGTTTAGGACTCACACTTATGTGATGGTGCACTATGTATGTAGGTCAAGAGATCATCAAACCCTCCACACTTAAATAATGAGCAATTATTAATGCTTTAATAATTGCTCGACTGAGTGTAACTCACATATTAATACTTGAGATGTGACATATGCTCTTTCTCTGCTTGCAGCTTCAACCTGTTCAGGATGTGGACCAGGATATAAAACCCCTTTAGATGCCATGAAAGGTGAGCTGCTTTAAAAAATAAGACCGCATATTGTTTTTACAATAAAGTGGTAGTTTATATTAACATATGAGTTGGTAATACATAGTTGCAACTTGCAAGGTAGGCCTACTACAATGTAGCAGTGACCTTTGCACTGGAGACTCGCTGTCACTGTCTGAGCTCTATTATCACTGCATAACCTCTATTCCTGCAGCTCCTTCTCCCCACCACCAGAGGTCCTTCTCACTTGTAAATTGGCATTGTTCTGAATTTTTTGATTTGCCTACTGTTTTACTGCTTCAGTGTCCCAATCCCAATGCGTAGTGAACCAGTGCCTAAACTTGTGTACATGATTTACGTATTCACAATCTAGGGAGCTGATTGAGATGCATCTCTTATCTCTTTTGAATTTGCTTCTGAATTTGCTTACTTAAAAAAAAAAAATATATATATTTTTTTTTTAAATTATACAGTTGAATAAACATTAACTTTTTAATTTTATTTTTTTATAAATTGGATAAATTTGTTAATTTTAATTTGTGTATTTAAGCATGTAAAACACTTAACAGCAGAATTTTTATTTTTAGTGCACTACTATTGTGGAGACAAACGGTACACCATTTATGGAATTTATTGATAAATTATAAGACACAAAGATCAGTCTGCATTTAGACTCTAAACTTAAACATAAATTCTTCCTACAGGGCCTCGAGAAGAGATTGTCTACCTACCATGTATTTACCGCAACACAGACATTCAGAAACCTGACTATCTTGCAACTGTTGATGTCAATCCACAATCTCCCAATTTTTGCAAGGTAAAAGCAAATATGATTTATAAATATAAACTATTTTGGATTCAAATGTGGCATCAACACGTTTCCTTTTAATATTTCTAGTATAACACCTACTTTAGTAGCATTTCTTTTGTAATGTAGGTGATTCACAGGCTGCCCATGCCTAATCTAAAGGATGAGCTACACCATTCTGGTTGGAATGCTTGTAGCAGTTGTTATGATGATCCCTCCAAAAGACGCAATCGTCTCATTCTGCCTTCCCTGATCTCCTCCCGTGTCTATGTCGTTGATGTAGGGACGGATCCACGGGCCCCACGGCTTCATAAGGTTCATTTAAGTAAACACTCAGTTATATACTGTAAGAGCTGTCTGTGTAGGAATACCCTTATTGTGATGGTGTTAACTTTGTGGATGAACATGTGGGTTAGTAATCTGAGGACGTTTAAAAAGTAGATTTTTTTTATTTTAACTGCATGCTATAGTACTTGATACTTCATGTTTGGTAAACTCAGGCAAGCAAATAGGCAAGAAAAGACATTTGACCAATGGAGGTCACAGTCTTAAAGATGAACCACTTGGCTGTTTTCATATCTTCTTGATCTATAATACAAGTCTAAAGCAATATTGTTGGTTAAAATACATGCCCTATATATTAAGAATTAGTTTCCATGACTTATCAATTAGTTCCCTTGTTTTATTTAAATTAAGAATTTGTTCTCTCATTTTAGTAAATCATGGCAGTGAATTAAGAATTAATTCCTTTGTTTTAGTAAATCATGGCCACATTATACTAATACGTTCCCTAATTTTGTAAATCGTGGCCATGTAGTAGTACTAATTCATACTCTCGAATAAAAGAACAAATTCTTAATTCGTGGCAATGATAAATTTATTTTGGTCATGTGTGGAGCTCCATAGTTTACCCCCAGTATTTGTTTCAATTTCTGTAAAAAAACAAAAACAAAAAAAACAGAGAACCTTTAAAAGCCCAGAAGCATGACATCAAGTCCTTTTACTCGTATTAATTGATTTTGTTTAACATCTACGACATAATGCTTAACATCAAGTGTGACCGCCCCTAAATACATGACTGTTGACTTTAAGAATGTTTTGTTCTTGCCAAGACCATGAATTCTTTCCATCTCTCTCCTCCTCCAGATAGTCGAGCCCATAGATCTGTTCTGGAAATGCGGCCTTGCCAACCCCCACACTTCTCACTGCTTAGGCAGTGGCCAAATCATGATCAGTACCATGGGTGATCCCTCTGGCAATGGCAAGGGTAAGATGCTGTGTTCACCTCTATTTATTTTCAATACACATTTTAGGCTTACCCTTTTATTTGTGGTCATTTTTAAGGTGGTTTTGTGTTGTTGGATGGCGAGACTTTTGAAGTGATTGGCAACTGGGAGCAGCCAGGTGAAGCAGCACCCTTTGGTTATGACTTTTGGTACCAGCCTCGCCACAACGTCATGATCAGCACTGAATGGGGAGCACCCAAAGCGTTGGGAAACGGTTTCAACCCTGCAGATGTCAAAGCTGGTATGTGTGTATTCAAGAGGAAGTTCAAGAGTCGTTGTAGCTGACTGGCAGTGATGATCAGATCTGTTTGTAGGTCATTATGGACAGCGCCTCCATGTGTGGGACTGGACCACACACAAGCGGATTCAGACTCTGGATCTGGGGGAAGAGGGTGCTATTCCTCTGGAGATCCGGTTCCTGCATGACCCTGCTGCGGCTGAAGGATTCGTGGGCTGTGCTCTTCAGAGCACCGTCTTCCGCTTCTACAAGACTCCGGCAAGTACATAAAAAGTGTTTTAATTAAAATCTTCTCTAACCTTTTTGTAAAGGTTTTTAAGCAAAACATGTTTTTAGATTCAGATTTTTCATTTTACAGAAAGGGGACTGGGCAGCAGTTAGTGTTATATATATAAACATAAAAAAAAAAAAACTAGGGCTGTCAATAGAATAAAAGAGTTATGAATATTGATTATTTTAAGTTTATTTAGAGTAGTTTTGAAAAGAATGAAACTAATATGAAATGTAGTAAATGTTTAGAAAATACTGTGTTAAACTTTTGATATATATACAGCCCTAAAAATACATTTAGTAATTTATTTGGGGTTTCTCTCAATTTTTTCTCTCTCTCATATTTTCCCTGAGCCCCAATTCAACAATCTACTTTAATGGCAAAAAGTAAAAAAAGAGTCTGATTTAATAATAATTTGTCTTATTTCTAAATATTGTTTGTGTAATGTAATGTATATTTTTCCCCCTTTCATTTTTTTCCTGTACTCCAGTTTGACA